AATTCTTATTGCGAAAAATATTACCTCGACCGGGAGTCGAACCCGGATCTCTTGCATACCGTGCGAGCGTCCTGAGCCTTTAGACTACCGAGGCCTTAGTAATAGTCTTCGCAATAATTGGCATATGAAGGAACGGGGACCCGATTGACCACGGCTCGATTGGACACCACCAATCACAGCGACCGGTACTTAGGAGCTTTGTAGTCTCAAGCGCTGTGAGTGGCTCGTGTCCAATTGAGCCGTGTCCAATTGGGTGCCACCCTGAAGGAACAACGTCTCTTTAGGCGACTAAGCATCAAAAATTTGTTAAATTGCTAATCAATTTATCTCGTGATATTACTGCGGTAATTTAGTAGAGTTAGCGTTTCAAGACCGAAAATTTGTCGGCGCGCGTTTCTGTGGGACTACATACGTAGTATATAAATTCACATAAGAATCATACAAGCATTAAGATCGAGTTAGACTGTTTAAGGCTTTGATTTCTATAGTTTGTGTTATCACATGTACGGTCCCAGGGTTGGGCAATTTAGAGCTGCGAATAGTTTCTTACGTATAATACGTATGTATAATACGTATGTATAATACGTATAATACGTAAATACATATAAAACGTACGTATAATACGTATAACATACGGTATTATACGGTATAAAAACCATGTATAATACGTTATGTTTAATACATGCCAACCCTGTACGGTCCTATAATATATTATATTATACAACTATTTATATAATTAATCAAACAACTCTTAGAATTTTACAATACATATAACTACCTATACTTACATATATTTTCCATGGCCCTTCAAATATTTTAATAATATATATTATATGTAAGCTCTCACGATATCGATCATAAATCAAAATAAACCTTTAGAGCCATGGAACAAGATATTAATATGCAATAAAATTAAATATATATGTCATCTAATTTATTAACTCTTTACTATACGTTTTGACCCAGATTGGGGTTCTTCTCAATAGAATGATTACATAACATAAAGAAATTTACATAAACAAAATATGTAAATAACAAAAATGTTAGTCAGACATGCACTCCATACTCAAAAGGGGTTTTTTATTAATATAAATTAAGAAAATAAAAATTCATGAAACGAAAAACTACAAATTTCGTGGTTAGAATTACTTTGCGAAACATTTGGCTGAGCTATTTGTGTATATCTCGTCGAGCTACCCCAAATTTAAAAAAAAATCATCTTTCTACGTCAATTTATTGCCGAGAAAATGTAAGTTTAGCAAATTTTAACGTACGAAATCAGTTACGCGCGAGTCGCCGAGCGGCCCGACCTGCCCCACAATACCGCGTGGTGGCTTCCCCTACTCCGCCCAACGCGCCGCCTCGTTGGCGTTCCTCAATTTTCCAATAGTTTTAAACAAACTTTTTCGGCAGCAAAAATTTCGACAATTTTTTAACAGCAAATTCAAATTTTTCTTAACAAATTGATACCAGAAAGAACTTTTAATCTTAAAAACTAGAGCAGCAGTGATTTTTTGAAAAAAAAAATGGTTATCTCGGCTCCTAATAATCGGAGGGTAACTTTTTTTTTTAAATTCGTAGAAAAATGTCAGCTATCGAATTCTTCATACGGCTTTTTTTGATATGATGCATATTAACGGAATTATTCCATTTTTTTATACGAAAAAAAATACTCACTTTTTAAAATCGTTTTAAAATAGTTTAACTGCAAAAAATCGTTTTGTTACTAAGTGTACGTGATA